ACATCGGATTGTCCTTCTGTTTACGATAAGTGCAAAAACTCTTGACGAAAGTTCTCTTTTCTCATTGTAAGATATTTTATGTTCAAAATTTTTAGAAAAAAAGTTCTAATATCTGAAACATAGTTACTTGGGACAAGTATTTTTTCTTCAACCGCTAAATTTTCCCGGACATGTCAACTCACGTAGCCCGAGGAAGGTCTCTAAAATATTTATTCGAGTTAAGCCATAGAAAATAATTTACTCCTCTCCGTGTAAATAATTTTCAAATAAGTCTTTTAAAAAAAAAACTTGTTTCTTCCTAGTGTAAGAGGTGAACGAATCGCATGTAAGATGGAAATACTCTCATATGAAAATATGTGAATGGGAAAATTGTGGCTTCAAATCCCTCACCCGTCCCCGATTTTCCCCCGCAACATGCCACCTTCAATCTCGAAAAATTCCCATCATGGTGTACAAGAAATACGAAATGATATAACGGAGGGATATTCCTGCAAAACCCAGGGCTCATCAAATATCCCACCGCCGGGATGTAGCTCAACGCCAACCATAGACCCACTATTGCGGGAGAATTCCAGATTGTGATTCATTATGCAAATCTCGTTAGGAGAATGGCGAGAAGGTAATATATAGTGGACAGCGGAGCTGTCGTCCTCATCTAATATAATAATGATTCCCGACTGAATTACGAGCCCGTGAAATGCCAGAAAATGTCAACGCGCCAGTGGAAAAGTAGTTTCGAGGAATTATTGCTGGGAGGTGACGAATTATTAACGGAAATAGCAATAACTGTTTTTTCTTTCGCGGTGTTGTATTACTCTGAATGTTGCCGGCAGATGGCTGGGAGAGGCCGTAAAAATGGTGTGAAAATGTTATATACAAAAAGTTGATGGGAACTATTTGTCGGGAGGCACTTTGGACCAAGTGACTTTTTATTTAATTTTTCAAGTGGTGAGCGGAAAGATAATGTCGTCGTGTCCGCGAAAATGAGAGGGGTCGAGTGGTGAAGATGAGGCTTGTTGATAATACTTCAGTGACATTTTTGTTCAGGAATGTTCATGAGACTGAAGGGCTGTGGGGAAAATTCTTAAGTTGGGGATATCGTTCTTAGGGTGAGGGCTACTTTTTGATGGATTGAATGTTTTCAGTGGTATCATTGAAGAGACGGAGGGAAATCTCCCTGAAATTGAAAGAAGACGAGTCATCGTGGGCAGTATTGTTCTCATGTTCCGGAAACTATCGGGGCAAAAGAGGTCGTTTTTCTTTTTTTCCTGAATGTTTTATGTTCTCAGGCCTCAATAATTACGGATGAACTAAATTGATTCAACTAATTAATTCCATAACTGCAGAATTATAGAATGAAGTTTTAGTTTCCAGGGAAAGATCCCTCATTTATTTGAACTTGCGGGTGTAAAAGTGAACGAGGGATTTTTTATTTAATTATGTTTAGCTGCCTCAAAACATAATTACATAGTACAGCTCATATAATTGGGATCAATCATCACTTGCGAGTACGTTCGATTTTCGCTGTAGGGAGAGAAAAGTAGGAGAAAAATTACCTAGAATATCGTGGCAAATTTTACTGTACGAAAGATAATCGTGGTGCGGAATGTAATTCAATGAAAAAATATCTGTTTTTGGAGGATATTATATGATTCGTTCGCGAAAAAAAGGTGACGGTCGTGGGGGTGAATGGAAGTGAAATTTCAGCGAACGCGTTCGATCAAAAATCCCTTTCCGCTACAGAAAAATTATACGCAATATTGAGCAATCCTGCACGTTCACTGAGATAAATTTTGATGGAAGGCATTATTCGTCTCGTCAAAATTCGGGAAATCCAGTTGGCTCCACGATTACTTGAGTTATTCCGTAATTTTTGTCTAGCTTTTTTCTCCGTGTAGACAAAACAGCGGTTACACAGAGAAGTTCCTAGGACGAAGAATACAATTCTTTTCCTTTGATGGATTAAAAGTTGTCAGTGGTGGCACAGAATAGACGGGGAAGACTCACCCTAAATATCAAAGAAAGACTCCTCATCGTGATTGAGTATCTTCCTAGACAGATCTGACAAGCTCTTTTTGATCGAATTAATCCTATAAAAAACACATGTCTCAGCCAATTATTCTGCACCCAAAAAAGGCATCTTGATAAAATTTATTTCTGTCTCGATTCGATTACGAACGGGAAAAACGCTTCCTTTTCCTTTGATTTCGGAATTAAATTGCCCGTTCACATCAAGTTCCCAAATGAGAATAAATCCATGAATAAAAAATAGAATTTTCAATGCGAGAATGTCGCAGTTTGGGACAGCCCACATGATAGATTCAACCATTTTCAAGCATCAAATTTGTCAATTAAATTGCATGAGAAAAATTTAAAAAAAAAATGAAGATGCGGCGTCATTAAAATTTGTCATTAAAAATCGAAATGAACAAATTTGTTACGATTCCGAACAAATTTTTTTTATGATGGGAAATTGGCCAACGGCTTAATATCGACATTCAAATTCAGACCTCCAAAGTTTAAATAATAAAACAATTGTAAAATGTCCGGAGACTGAGGGTCAAAGGAGCTCGAATGAAAGCTCTCATGTTCGACTACAAAAATAGAAAGGCATTTCACTGGAGAAAAAATAGCTGAAGTCCTGGGATATCCTTAATAGCAGATTTGTATCGCACCAACATGGCTTGTCCGTCCTTACAGATACGGAATGATAAGCTTTCCCCCGAAATTATACAGTACATGCCTCCTAATGCCCCATTACGAATATCTGTCCCCCATGAAATCCCGTATCGGAAATCACAGAACAGGTGACGACAGAGGCTTTGGTGCGGTAGAATACTCTGAGGTTAATCACGCTAGCACCAGTGTTTGTATAACGCTGGTTGTAAACCACTTTGACATCTTTTAACCCCCACCATTCCGTGTTCACTCTCATTTGGTTAATTCCGGTGTAAATTTTCCATGTCAAGGGGTTGAAAATCACACATCTGAAAATGGGAGAGGATGGTAGAGTAATGTTCAAGGAAAAAGCTGAGATTGTGCACAAAACTGGAACTAATCTGACGGATGGTTAATTACACGGAGAATACTCAAAAGTGCTTTCCACCAGTTTTCCCCCGGCTTTCATAAATACAAACTCGCCTCTGGTTAGTAAAATTACCTTTTCCTTGATTATAGTGAGGATAATTTTTGTAGGGCCACTAGAAAATTTAGACTCGTTGGCTACGGAAGTCTCCAGGAAATGCACATCTGCTGTCTTGTCCCTAGTTACCTACATCCTCTGTATGTGTTTTTATGACAGAATAACACGGCAGACTCCATTGGAATTAATGAGGCAGAAAAAGGCGGGGGAGAGAGAGAGTTCAAAGAGGAGTTTTTTGTTGTACACGTCCCAGGGATTATTAATCTGGGGTAGTATGCGCATGTTGTTGAAGATTATAAGATTACAAAGTTCAAATATTCGGAACTCAGGTGTAATTCATTAAAGTTTTGATAAAAAATTAGGAAACCCATGTTAATACAGTTTTCGACGTGAACAGCATTGAGTTCACGTAGAATCAAAGGATTTGGTGATCGAAATTCTAGGGAGCTATTCAAAATATTCGCTTTGTTCGATACTGAGTTGCTGCTGGTGCTGGTGTATAAAGTTTCATATCATTTACCATTCTATACTATCGGAAATCTGCGCTAATCCCTCACGAAGTTCAACCTGCAATATTCAACCAGTTGCATCCAGCCGTAAAAAAAGTTTTCTATAGAAAAATGCTACCTATGGTAGCAGACTCCACTGGCGAGAGATGAACTATTTCAGTATTTCTCGGAGTATTTGAAGATAATCTCCGAAACCTACACCCGGAGGAGAAGTGACGCATTTGGATGAAATAAAACTCCTTATTTGATTCAAATAAAGGACTATTGTGCATGCTTCGCAGTTAAAACTGTGACTTCATGTCTAATTAATGAAATCGTTATTTGGATCAAGAAAACATTCGTTTATATTGAGAAAACCATTGTTGGTGATGTGAATACAAACGCAAAATAATCTGTTCTGTCGTCCCTGATCCACCAAGCAAGCATGGCCATGAATTTACTTTTTAAACGTTATCCGGAGACGGACATCTGCAATGATCCATTTGATTCAGTACTGAATCACGCATGTGAAACTGTAGAAAGTCGTTACTGATGTGGCTATGGATACAATTGTAAATAACCTATCGCTACATATACCTTTAAATTTTTAAGTTTATAAGAAATACTAATATTAAGTGGCATTATTTGTTAAACTAGTTGAACTACAATTAAGTTTAATCCTGTACTATTATAGTCATGTAATTGGCCTCGGCTGTTAACTCAATAAATGGCTATAAACTCAATAAATAAATAAATGAATAATAATCCATTTCACAGAGAAACAACAAAGTTGTGATTTTCAGGGACATGTCACTAATTTTCAGGGATCAATCCTCAAGTATTGAGGACAAGTTACTTATTTTACCGATTAGCCCGGTGGCCTGGCGTAGTGGTTAAGGCCGTTGCCTCACAACGGATAGGTTCCAGGTTCGATTCCTGGCCGGATAGAATGGTGAGATCAAACCATTTTTAAAGTCTTGATCAATCGCCATATAGTCTCATCAGACTCGAAGCGATATAAAATANCCCTAATTAACAGAGATTTGCCATTCTGAAATTATACGAGTGCAAAACTAATAAATTCAGTGATTTTGTAGCCAATTTTTGATGACATCACTAATTTCTGGTAACATTGTCGCTAATTTTCAAAAAAATGACACTAATTTTCACCTGACATCACTGATGATCAGGATTAATCATTAATTACTGATAGATTTATAAAAATGAGTGACATTGATGAAAATCAGTGACACGTTCCTTCAAAACCAAACGTTTCCCTCTCTTCGTCTCATAAGTTTGACGATAAACTTTATTACGAGCTATGTGAATAAATCGAACGTTCTGTTCTTCGATATATGCTTCCAGTGAAAATGGCAATGCATCGTGATCGTCCAACCTCGATGAGTGCCATCAGAGCGCGAAAAGTCCTGTTGTGGATATGCCTGTGCCTCTGTCTTCTACTCACTGATTGCTACAAAGATTCCGATGAGCACATTGAGGAAGACCCCTCCAAACTCATACGCATCGACGGCGACGTCATTTTCGGTGGAATATTTCCGATGCACGAACAGGTCAGCATCACACATGAAAATTTTCATCTGAATTTTCCGTGTTTAAGTCCGGAAATTTTTATCGTGTCCAAGTTTCCCTGAAATTTCCAAAAAAATCAAATATTCCATTGATTTTCTGTTCAAATGATCTGGAAATAAATAAAATATTTGATTTTTCAGTTAAATTATTCTGCAAACATTCAGAAAAATCAGGAAAATTCAGGGAAAAAATGAAAATTCATGTTATTTTCTTTCTGAATATTCATGTTCCACTGAAAATTCAATCAAACTGAAATTTCCATCTCACTCCCACTGAAAACTCATGAATTTCATAACCATTTTTTCCCTACATTCGATTCAATGTCACTCTCGTGAGATTTACTATAATATCTTCCATGAAATTTCAACAAATTTCTAACAGTGCAGCTCCATGCAAAGTCTATTTTCTTATATATTTTTTATTTTTACATTTTCTCCTAGAATGTGTAAATATGTTTCACGAGAAGTTCAACTTCGAATTTATGGAACTGTTTGCCAAACGTTCTCAAATGCATGTATGTAAACGAGAGAATTGTGTCTACATACAGTTTTCCACAATTGTCGATAAAAGTTGTGAGAATGGATATTAGCAGAAACTTTGTTACACATAACATTGGGACAAGTTGTTTGTTTGGAGAGAATACATTGGACGAAATATCCAATCTTTTTCTGAGCCTGTGGGAGCGACGAGGCATTATTCATGCAACTGACAGCTGGAATAATTAATTTTTATCATCATGAATGGAGTTGTGGAGTTTATATTAATATGATGAGCATGAAATGCTATTATAAATACATTTCACTGGAGTATTATTTATCCGAACGGAATTGCGTTTGCAATTAAAGAGGATTATTTGCCATGCTTTGTCGCTTCTCATTGTTGAATGTGTTCCAAGCGTTCTTCAATTATCTTTTGAGCGACGAAAATAGAACTCTATGCTGTTGGAAAATTCCCTGGGCAGTTTAGCGTTAATGTCAGGAGGGCGACATTTAATTCAATTTAGAGGGAAAAATATGAAATTTCAACATTTTTTAGCAGCAAGTGGATAACAACTCCGCAATCTGATTAAATTTTCAATTTAAACATGAATATTCAGTAACAAATTACCCCGATTTTCCAACATGCATTGTTATGACGCATTGTCTGGTTCCTATGGAGCTACTGAAGGTGCACTATTCAAGAGAGTTCGAGGAATAACGGCGGAGTTTATCATCCGCATCGATAATCCCGAAGATTTTCATCAATTATTTCCGTGACTATTAAAATTTAAGGATATCTGCATCTGAAGTTGGTAATTTATGTTCAATTTCGATGAGAACGCCCCAATTTCATTGACTTTTTAATGAAAACATGAGTATTCAGTATCAAATCACGTAGAATTTTCAATGAATTTAATATTGACGCATATATTCATCCGAATTTTTTTATTTACGTTAATTTACATGAAATGATTGAACTGAAATTCACTGCTTTTATTTATTTTCCATCGAATTGTGAATTTTTAGTGAGAAAATTCCGTAAATTTTTGGAGAGACTAGATGTAAATGCTCAAGAAATGTATCGGAAATTACGGCAAATTAAATTAGTTTTTTTGGAAAATAAAATCATGGAATTTCAAATTCCATTTGAATTCTAAAGGTTCAAATAGAGCAAGAATTTTCGCTGAACACTCAGTAAAATTCCAGGATTTTAAGCAGCATAAAGACGAAAAATCCTCAACTTATTTGGATTTCCTATCTAATATGAATATTCAGTGTCAACTTACATTGCATTTTCAGTGAAATTCGAAATTTCATGATTTTTCCCCCTAAATTATTTACGAGAATTTTGTAGTTTTCCATTAATTTTCAGGGAAAAATGGACCTGGAATATACAGTTCTCTTCGATTTTTCCACGAAATTCTGAATTTTCAATGACGAAATTGCTTGCAATTTCACTGCTAATTAAATTCGATAAAAATTTCCAAAAAGTGTACCGGAAATTTCAGACAAAAATCTTTAACAGCGTGTATAGTCAACTGGAAATGGGAATATTTGACAAATGTCTGTTTTCATTTGAAACATCCAGGTCGCCGGCATTGGTGGTGAATCGCCGTGTGGCGCTGTGAAAGAGGAGAAGGGAGTGCAACGCCTCGAGGCGATGCTCTTTGCCCTTGACGAGATAAACAAGAGTGATGTTTTATTGCCGAATACAACCATCGGCGCATTGATCCTCGACTCGTGCAGCAGTGACACATATGCCCTTGATCAGAGCATGGAGTTCGTGAGGTCCTACATGAATCAGGTAAATAGTAAAATCCCACGTCATTCAGGGCTCGTCGAGAGCCGCGGGTTGATGGCTGCCAAGAGCCGGGAGAGGCGAGAAGAGCCGGGCTTTTATCCTCGCATGTGTTCTCGTGGCATTTCTTCATCCCGCGTGACGCTGGAGCTTTCCATCGAAATGGAAGGCGTGTTACATTAAAAACCCTCTTTCACTTTTTCCTTTAGTATTGGCGAGTGAAAAATTGGCTGTTCGCGCACAAACGATCTTTCATAATAATTTATTAGGTTATCAGACGACGGTTTCAAGGGTTTTTTGTCGGAGTTTTTTCGACGAAAAAATTGTTTTGATGGAAATGTATTAGGAGCGGCGGGATAGTGCTTCTTGGGTATGAGATTTATGATGGATTCAGTTGTCAGGTTCAGTAGTTTTCACAAAATCATGAGTATTTTAGTGATAGATGGAAATTGAAGGGTAGTTTGGAGAAATAATATAATGGAGATGCTTTTTTAGTAAAAAAAAGAGGGTTTTCCGTCGAGATTCTTTGAGGGGGTAATATATCAAGTTCGGTGGAATAGTGCTCTTTTTTGTATTTAGAGCATTTCATTCATTAATTACATTCTAATAGTGCACTCTTGGATATGAGATTTATGATGGTTTCAGGCGTCAGGTTTAATCAGCACAAAATTATCAAAGTTATTTGATGCTTTTTCAATTAAAAAGAAGAGGTTTTCATTTTTCTAGAAATTATGGAATTGAACAACTAAAATTCCGTCGAGGTTTTTTGACGAAACAATTGTTTTGATGGAAATATATCAAGTTTAGCGGGATAATGTTCTCGTTGATGTGAGATTTTGTACGGATTCAGTTGGCAGGTAATTACCTATTTAATTACCGTAATTACCTCAAAATCATGGAAATTAATTTATGGTCGGATGAAAATCGAGTGGTATTTCCGATTTTAGTGATATGATATTCAAAATCAGAAAAAAAACTGATTTTTAATAACTTCTGACATTAATGCCTCTGAAATTTATCAGCATTTCTCCTCATTTTATGGAATTCTTCTGTCATTTGAATTCAGTGACTTTTTGATCCCGAATTTTCAAGATCTTTCCTTCAAATTTCAATGAGAAAATGCTTTATTTCAAGAGCCACATTCGATATAAAACTAGACGCCAAACACTGGATTCAGTAGAGAAAAATCTCATGCAACAACTCAATTACAGCTGTGACCGCAGGTTAGCCACTGATTTCCCGGTAAAACTATCCAATTAAAAGTGAAAGGGTCTGCGGATTTCTAATGAATCCCCCCAACTAGGTAAACGCAAGAAGAATCTCAACAGTCTGAAGATGGTCGTAAGTGCATTACGCAATTACTGAGAATTCCCTCACTCCTGATCCTGTGCAAATATTGAAAAGGGAAATTGAGTCCGAGAAAGTGCACCATAAGGGGAATAGAAGTTACTTTCAAGCTTCATCAATTAGGAGAATCGTCTCATTGAATGGGGTGAAATTAGTTGTTTCTCGGGTAAACAATGTGTACAATATCGATACGATCGATTTTCAAGCTCCAATAGACCGCTGAATGGTACCAGTGGTACTTGTACCCTCTGGGCACAGCGGTCCACAAACCCAGCGTACACACTTGATGCTTACACGACGTGCTACTTGAGTCACCCTGGTGTAAACAAGGCAACCTATGCTGGAGGGGCATGCAATGCCATGCGAGGGCTAGAGAGTCGTTGAAAGACGCCAATCAACTCGGGAGGTGAAAGATTTTCTGTCCACGGACGATCGAGTACACTCGTGAATGCCATCCCTTCCGTATGAGTAGCTCTCATCGAGCCATCTGATGACTCATGCAGGGTTAGAATAATTTTTTTGAAGACTTGAAATTTTTTTCTGAAGTGACAGTGACAATTAGTGGAAACTGTAGATTTGCGTTTGATAATAAAAATGTACAGAAATCAGGAAAATTCGGGTGAATATCTTCTTGGATTTTCAAATAATTGAGAATACAGCCCAATTTGGTACTAATTATTCATGTTTTGATTGAAGATACAACTAAACTGTACTGTTGAATTTTTTTGACTGAAATTTTGGGTAAAGTTCTTGAAAATTTTCATCACATTTTAGTTTCATTAAAATTTCAACCAACTTCTTTATTGAAAATTCCAAAGTTTACCGGAAAATCAATAGAAACTGTGAATTTTAGTTCAATTATTCCATGAAAATTAATAGAAATCGGAAAAATTCAGGTAAATATATTTCTAACTACTTAAAATTTTAGAATTCCATTGAATTTTCAGGGAAATCAGAAATTTCATGACCTTTCCCCTAAATCGAACTCAATGTCACTTTCCTGAAAATGATTTGTCAACTGTCCATCAAATTTCATTTTTTTTTCTAAAAGGTCGCGTGAAAATCTGAAATGCTATTGAATTTCCAGTGAAATTTGGATTTATTGTGGTTTTGTACAATTGGGATTAAACTATTGCTATTTTTCTTCGAACTTTCCTCAGTTTCTTTGTGTGGTATGCTGACTGCTGAAATTTGCTAATGAAGTATAATGTTGAGAAGTGAAAATATGGCTACTATTATAACTTTACCTAGCTTGATAATGCTGACAGTATTGTCTCAATTCCCCTCCCCAGAAGTTGTGAAGCGCCGGGAGACTTATTGGAGAGCTCAATTTTCACGGAAAAGTTTTAATACGAAGCATGAAAACATAATTCACAATGTTTTCCACACAACGAAGAAATCCGTGAATTGAGAATAGTCATAAAATTGAACATGATTCTTGATTCAGAAACAATTTCCCTTAAAATTCAAGTGCTAAATTCGGAAATCCGGTGATTTTGCCAGCGATTTTTAGTGTCATTATTAATTTCCAATGAGATCGTCAGTAATTGTCAAGGACATCGTCATTAATTTTCAGGAAAATGTCACGGATTTTCAGGAATCCATCTTTAATTTTTGGGAATCTACTACCCCAGTGATATAAATCACCAATAATCAGGGCTATTCTAGTCCGCTATCACCAAAATCGGCAATAGATTTTAAAAATCAGTGACACATCTACCATTAAAAAATAAAATTAAAATAAAAAAGTAAAACGTTTTGTGATCCACTCAAAAACCCAATATTTTTATTTACAAACCAAGATATTGGCAATTACAGAAGACCACAAAACGTTCCACTTTGCCCCGTTCTCCCATAAACAAATAAATAAATAAACACGTAACGATCATAAATAACCAGCACAAGCCAACATCCAATTCACGCGCACGTGAAGCGCGCTTTCCCAGTTCCAGAAAATTAAAAAATCTTCCCTGCGTGAGGCTCATGAACTTCTCAAGCAATAAAAATTATTCTGTTCCGAATCCAAAGCCCTGTTAATCCCCATAACTCCGTGGAATGCACATCAAACGAAGTAATGAAGGAAAAGATGTATAAAAACTGACTGCACCTTGTGAATGAAAATCCCTCGTCGAATTTCCTCGCTTCCGACCATTTAACGTACAAAGAAATAATGCAAAACCCATAAAAAAATTCTCTTCATTACTACGAAGTTTCCAGTTACCTTAGCCCAGCGCAATCGCCTGAAAACTTTCCGTATTCTTTCCTATCCGCCGTAGCATCGCGAGGAAAAAAAATACCCCGTGACTATATCGTTAGAGGCTAAAAGACGAGTAGAGATCGTTAAGGTGTTGCAGGTAGGCCAGTGAATGACGTGTTAATGGAAACCCCGGTCCCGCCTCATTTGCGCTTTGAGCCGTCTCCCAGAGGACTTCACCCCTCTCCTGTTTTCTCTCTCATCTCATTCCACGAAATATAAAGAAGATGATAACCAAATCGCAGGGGAAGAATGAGAACAGATAAAAATTTCAACGCCCTGAATTAATGAAACTAATGAAGAGGCAGCGGATTCAGAGACGAAATAGACTCCCCCCCGTCAATGCAAATGCCGGGTGGAGGATATTCTGAGATATCGCTCCAGCAGGTCGTGTAATTGCAGATCTCCTTCCTTTGTTTCCAATGGAATTTACTCGGAGATCTGAAGGTGAAAGTGGGGGTGTCGGGGGAGGGGGAGACACAGTATAGAGTGGGAGTTTGATGAGGGAAGTGGAGTGAGTGAGAAACCGTGAGCTCCTCTTTTCACGGATGGGTAAGAGGTTCCTCGCCTTAATTGAATTCAACTTGTGGAACAATCGTCTCATGCAAAAAGCCTCCCCCATCCACATATCCAAATATCTGTAGAAACCCAGAGTCGGAGGATAATAACTATAGACATCTGTGTTATCCAGAAAAGAGGGGATTTCGTAAGTTAAAAGGCTTTTCAAGGAATATCGATTGATCCTTCCGACGGCGTTGCAATGAAGACTTTCAAATGGTGAAAGACAGTTGACATTTGGGAGGGAGAGTTTAGCTTGATTTTTTTCCCTCTGCGATGAGCATCCGGAAGCTTCATTATAGAGACTCAAAGTCGAACCAGCGGATTACCATCATCTCTTGTAATGTTTTTAAGGTGATTTTTTTTTTCTGTAGAATTCAGGCTACTCTGGGGTACTTATCATTGAAATAGGGGAGATTGGGGTAAAATGGACACTTTTGCCTTTTTTTAAATGTTAATGACGGATTGAAATGGTGATGAAATTTAATTTTTTTTTTTTCAATACAAGGAACAATTCTTTCCCTTTGCGATGAGCCTAAACTGAGCTCAATTGATAAATTTGTTTCTGAGTTATGAATAATTTTAAAAAAGTCTAGTGTCCATTTTACCCCACCCTCCCCTATTTCAAATCCTGGAACTGTTCTGACCTGTTTTGTTCAGTTATATTGCTGGTATCCCCCCGCCCTCTCCCAGTCCCCGCGGGGGCGTTTATGGACACGAACAAAGTTGTGATCTCCGAAAAGCTCTTCCCAATTTTTAGGAACGTTGGCCATGACTCAGGATAATTATGATTAATTTTATGGAAATTTTTAATTAATTCATTTGTGAAGATTGACGGCTGCGGGGAGGCGGGCTGTCCAGGTCGTGGTATCACTTCATAATTAATTAAGATGATTTTAGAACACGAAGGCGTCAATTCAGATTGCTTTAAAATCATTGAAAACGTTCCTATTTTCAATACAACTGATACCGAATTCGGTCAAAATTACCGAGAACTAGAAGTTTCTTCTCTGATTTTTTGAGAAAATTCTCTTACAATCAGTAAAAATTTCATAACCATTTTTTCCCTAAATTCGACTCAATGTCACTCTCATGAGATTTCCTGCAATATTTTCCACGAAATTTCAAAAAATGTCTAACAGTACAATGTGTGGGTCGTGGGCGTTTGTGTCACTGTAAAATGTCAGTGCACACACAAATGATGAAAACGTTTCTTCCTTGTATACAAATTAAGGATATTCCCCTGAAACCTAAAACTTTTCGTTCCTCATAGTGGCGCGTGGGTGGAGAACGAAAAGCTAATAAATCAAGATTATAAACTCCTTCAGGCGTTAAACAGCCGCAGGGCGCTCATTAACATACTTTTAGTAACGGATGCAATGCAAATTGAGCAGGATTATGCATCCACACACTCGAATTTTCATATTCGCGTAAATATTAATTTGCGAGGCAAGTAATGATTTTTTTTCTGATGGAATAAAAGGAGATAAACTTGGAGGTTTATCATTGGGGGAATGATAAGCGTTTGAAACTTACGCGGACCCTCTGCGGTGTGTCCGATGAGTTTTACCCGCACAGGGGTTATGAGAGAAGATGAAAAAAAATGGGAGTATTGGGGGAAGGGGGACAATAGGGTTCTGCCAAGAGTTCATATGTATGAACGAGTGGCAAATAACGACGGAAACTGGGCGGTGTGCCAGAATGCACTCAACGGAGATTCTACGCGTGAGCATCTCCCCACTTGGATTTTATCTTTTTTCGCGGTGGTTATAAACGCGTGCACACATCGTTCGGGGCTATAGGGCTGGAGCCATCGTGCTTATTTGTTTATGCATTTTTTTGGTTCGGTGGTTTAATGCCTGTTGTTGGGTTTATGTTTTGGAGGGAACGGGCAAGAAGTTGGATGGGTTCGAATAACATTGAGGGAAGTTGAGATAACATGCGGGTAGTAGTGCAAATAATGGAAGGGGAGTGGATTTAATGTTGTTGAACACACGGAGAAAAAAGATCAGCGGAAAATTATGAGAAGAGAGAAATAAAAATTATGGAATGTTGTCCCGCAAAAATCCGATGAAAATATGTACCGTAGAGGACATGTTTGTGGTACGTTTTTATCAGAAGCCCGGAGATTTTATTTTTGTCTGGAAATAATTACGTTGCAAAGGAAATATTCATCCTTTGCCTCACATTTTCTCTTGAATTAAAAATTCGAAATTCTATTGGATTTTCAGTGAATGATTCTTTTATCTATGAATCGAATTCAATGTCATTTTTCTAGAAATTAATATGCGTTCAAATTTTTTTGCAATAACAATACATCTGAAGATTTCATACAAATGCGTCGTTGCTAAACAATTCCAGATTTGTCAAAAAGATTTTCAACACAAGTCCCTGAACTAGAAAAATCATTCCAATTAAGAAAAATAGTTTCAATTTCAAAAACAATATTCACAATACGAGTATTTATTCTCCCCGACCACCAAAATTGTAAAATATTCATGAGTGAAATAACGTGAATGGCGAGAGGATATTTTTGTTCCCCAAGTCGATATAATACGGAGACCCGGTTACCAACGACGATTGTAGAGTACTGCCCCTCCCCCTTGGCGTGGACCGTACACTGGAAAATTGAAAAGAATAGAGACGGTGAGAGTATCGTACGATTGTCCGTGAGGTTGAACCCCGCGGTATCCTATTTTCCTCCCTACCAAGTCACCGTAACGAGAACTGGATTCACCATAACCCTCTTGACTCCATTTTTTTCCCTCCATCTCTCTAGTTTTCCACTATTTTCCCATTCCCTTGTACCACTCTCCCCCTCCCCCCTGTAATCGCCGGGAAATTCACAATTCCACAAAGTTTCCGACGTTGACTTCATCACAATAAGAGTATCTTCAAATAGAATACAAAAATAAGCGAGATTAAAAATACGCTGAGTTATTCTTCGGAATGGAGGATGAATGGAGCGAATGAACACTCGATGCTTATAAGCATTGTTTGGAAATCCGGGGATACCGCATTGTATAAGGGTATTTGAGCGATCCATATTGGTATAAATCTCGGAGATTAATGTAAAATTCGGTCGTGGAGTGATGAAATTTATCAAAACAGAAAATTGTATATTACGTTACACGGAGAGAAATTTTTGATAAAAATTATCCTACCGTTCTATAAAAGTGATTATGAGTCATCGTTTCCTCATTCCTATTCCGAAATTTAGTAAAAATTAATATATGATGATCAAATTTTATTATCCGTTGGAGAAATTTTTTCCTGACGCATAATAAATTTTACCCTTCCAGGCCAATAATTTTTATGTAGATAACAGCGAAAATTCTAGAACGGTTGGTAAATTTTACCCTACCGGTACAATAATTTTTACTCTACCGGCACGTTAATTTTTTTTATCAGGATAAAATTTCTCTAACGTAGAATAAAATTTGATCATCATATATTAATTTTTACTAAATTTCGGGATAGAAATGAGGAAACGATGACTCATGATACACCTTTATAGAACGGTAGGATAATTTTTATCAAAAATTTCTCTCCGTGTACAAATGTAAAAAAGGGGAAATGTTAATACGAGTGAGGTAATGTTTTTGGGGACAGTCGTAGGACACGCGCAGCCGAGAGGAGGCGGAGGTGCCGCCTCCGCTTGACTCGTCGAGTTTCAAAACACCTAGGGGACAACGATTTGTGATCTCCAAATCTCAATATCTTCATTTATCAACAAAGATATTGGTAATTGAAGATCATAAAACGTCCCACTTTGCCCTGCCCTTCTCTAGAGAGATACTTTATTTGAATTAATGCAACTTTATTGGAATCAACTAAATTGGTTTATTCAAATATTTCTCATGCAGGTTTCATTCAAATTTTAAATTGGATCTTGTTCGCGTTTTCATTTACATCAAACAACATTTGTTACATTCCCAAACGTGGGGAATGCAAACAAATGGATTTTTATTCGAATACAGACTTCATCGGTTAGAGATGAAATTATTATTTGAACGGGATTTGTTCGAAGTGAATGAATTATTAATTCCAAGTAACTAATTACTTCCCATGGAAATTTGTATACGAGACTGATCAAACAAAATTTATTGACATTCCCAGTAGTTTAGAATGTAAACGAATATCTTTTTGATCCAAAGAAAGACTTCATTCATTTGGAGATGAAATCATTGTTTAGACAGCAAAATGGAGGAACTCATATATTCATGTAACATAAAATAATCTTTTATTGTATTCTAATAAACAATTCATTTAGAATGAATGTTTTTTTTATTTGAATTTTTTAATTAGTTTATTGATTTGCAAAATAAGTATCGTTCAAATGAGTGGAAAAATTTCAAATGAAGAGTTTTCGTTGATCCAAATGCGTCAATTCTCCAGCAGTAAAAATGAAAATTCTTCGAATAATTGGAACTCAAATCACAACTTGTTTATTCCCCGATTGACGTCATAAGAAACGGGATAAAATTTTTTATCAAACATATAGGCAAGCTGTTTACCACGTTTGGATGAGGGATGACACTGGAATAGAAGTGGAGGAGACAAGCCGACGTAGATTCGTTGTACGTGATCACGATGGCTCAAGGGACGTGTTTCGAATTGTCCATAAGGACTCGAAATTACGAGTGGAAGGCAGGGGGTAAATTCCAAGTTTCTCGTCTGGATTCTCTGTCACAGTGGATCCGAGACTCTCGGTCGGAGTCTAGATATAACAGGCGATAAAATGACGGACACTCCTCTTGTTTCCAGTAGTTCGAGCCCGATATAGTCAGACGGTGGTTGAAAATAACTTTGTATTTTTAATCTCGCCTATTTT